TTTCTACAAAAAATAAATTTTTAAAAAAATAGCAGGATGTGGCGATGTGTGCCTATAGTCCCAGCTACTTGGGAAGCTGAAATGGGAGGACTGCTGGAGCCCAGGAGTCTGAGGCTGCAGTGAGCTCTGATTGCAGCATGGCACTCCAGCCTGGGCCACAAAGCAAGACTGTCTCAAAGAAAAAAAAAAAAACCCAAAAACAAAAAACTCCCTGCCCTCAGGGAGCTGACAGTCTAGCTAGGGAGACAGACAAGTAAACAATGACAGGTCAGGTTCGGTGGCTCACTCCTATAATCCCAGCCCTTTGGGAGGCCAAGGCAGGTGAATCACCTGAGGTCAGGAGTTATAGACCAACCTGGCCAATATAGTGAAACCCTGTCTCTACTAAAAATACAAAAATTAGCTGGGCGTGATGGCGCATGTCTGTAGTCCCCACTACTCTGGAGTCTGAGGAAGGAGAGTCACTTGAACCCGGGAGGCAAAGGTTGCAGTGAGCCAACCCTGCACCACTGCACTCCAGCCTGGATGACAGAGTAAGATACAGTCTCACACACACAAAAAAGGAAAGAAAACAACAAGAGAGAGCATAGTTATGACCATAACACTGCGTATTAACATCAGATTATATGACAGACATTATTAACCTCCGCAGCCTGTTTCCTCCAGCTAGAACATGGGGATAATAAAACTTTTGGCCGGGTGTGGTGGCTCATGACTGTAATCTCAGCACTTTGGGAGACTGACGCAGGCAGATCACAAGGTCAGGAGTTCAAGACCAGCCTGGCCAACATGGTGAAACCCCATCTCTACTAAAAATACAAAAATTAGCTGGCGTGATGGCGGGCACCTGTAATCCCAGCTACTGGAGAAGCTGAGGCAGGAGAATCGCTTGAACCCAGAAGGTGGAGGTTGCAGTGAGCCGAGATAGTGCCATTGCACTCCACCCTAGGCAACAGAGCAAGACTCTGTCTCAAAATAAAACAAAATAAAAACATTTCATAAGCCCAGTACCCTTAAGTAGGTTACTGTGTATACGTTCCTCGTTACTACAAGTGCTTAGAAAGCATGTGGATTACTCCTTATTGTCATTGATTTTTATCTGTTTTTTATTTTTTGAGACAAAGTCTCACTCTGTCATCCAGGCTAGAGTGCAATGGCATGATCTCGGCTCACTGCAACCTCCACTCCCAGAGTTCAAGCAATTCTCCTGCCTCAGCCTCCTGAGTAGCTGGGACTACAGGCGCCTGCCACCGTGTCTGGCTAATTTTTTGTGTTTTGTATTTTCAGTAGAGACAGGGTTTTACCAACTTGGCCAGGCTGGTTTTGAACTCCTGACCTCATGATCCACCTGCCTCAGCCTCCCAAAGTGCTGGGATTACAGGTGTGAGCCACCATACCTGACCTATTTTATTTTATTTTTGAGACAGAGTCTCACTCTGTTATCTGGGCTGGAGTGCAGTGGTGTGATCTTGGCTCACTGCAACCTCCGCCTCTTAGGTTCAAGTGATTCTCTTGCCTCAGCCTCCTGAGTAGCTGGGACTACAGGCATGCACCACCATGCTTGGCTAATTTTTTTGTATTTTTAGTAGAGACAGGGTTTCGCCATGATGGCCAGGCTGTGTTGAACTCCTGGCCTCAAGCAATTCACCAGCCTCGGCCTCCCAAAGTGCTGGGATTACAAGTGTGAGCCACCATGCCTAGCCATATTTTATGTATTTATTTTTTTGAGACGTAGTTTCTCTCTCATTGCCCAGGCGGGAGTGCGATGGGGCGATCTCAGCTCACTGCAACCTCCGCCTCCTGAGTTCAAGAGATTCTCCTGTGTCAGCCTCCCCAGTACCTGGGATTACAGGCATGCACCATCATGCCTGGGTGATTTTGTATTTTTAGTAGAGATGGGGTTTCTCCATGTTGGTCAGGCTGGTCTCGAACTCCCAACCTCAGGTGATCTGCCCACCTTGGCCTCCCAAAGTGCTGGGATTACGGGCATGAGCCACCATGCCAGGCCTATTTATTTATTTTTGAGATAGGTTTGCTCTGTCATCACCCAGGCTGGAGTGCAGTGGTGTGATCATAGCTCACTACAGCCTCAAACTCCAGGGCAAAAGCAATCCTCTCACATCAGCCTCCCGAGTAGCTGGGACTACAGGCATGCACCACCAATGCCTGGCTAATTAAAAAAAAATTTTGTAGAGAGAGGTTGGGTCTTGCTATGTTGACCAGACTGGTCTTGAACTCATGGCCCCGAGTGATCCTCCCACCTCAGCCTCCCAGAGGCTGTTTACAGGTGTGAAGCACTGAGCCTGGCATGTCATTAATTCCTGAATGAGGAGTTTCACAAGGGAAGAGACCAGGGATGACTGCCCCTGATGTGTTGACAGGTATACACAGAATTGCAAACACAGATACACGCCCCTGCCCCCTTGCACACAAGTACATCCCAGCATCCCAGTCTCTCACACACACCTTGGTACACCGACATAGGGGCACCAGCGACCATAACCATCCGCTCGACCAGGGATGGGTAGTAGATGGAGAAATTCCAGGCAAGGAGGGCACCCCAGTCGTGGGCCACAAGTACACACTTGGAGTAACCTGTGGGAATCCAACAAGCTGATATCAATGAGGTGGCAGGTAGGGCTGAAGCAGGGCTGGGGGAAGTCGGTCCCAGCAAGGACAAAGCGGGGTAAGTGTGATGTGTAGGATGAGGGAGGCCACGCCCAGGATGGGGGTTTGTCTGCACCCAAGCCTAGGATGACATCCTTGATGTCCGCCAGCAGCAGGTCAGTCGTGTAGCAGTCCACATCTCCAGGTGCATCTGAAGGGCCATAGCCTCGCAAGTCCACAGCCACAACGTGGAAGCGGCTCTGGAACTCCCGGAGCTGGAAACGCCAGGAGAACCTGCCAGGCAGGCCAGGGAGGGAGATTGAGTCAGGGCCTTCAGGTTGTACCTGCACCCTACGCCCATCAGGGACCATTGACAACCCCTCCTTCCTGCTCTAAACTTTCCCTAAAAGGAGGATGGGGAATCCCAGGCAGAGGGAGAGGCTGAGGCTGAAGCCAGCTACACACTGAATCCAGGGAGCCTTCATTAGCCTCAATACCCCTTTGTCCCATCCCTTCAGGTCCTAGAGATCCTAGGTACGCTGGCTCAGTACCCGTGTCCTCCTCTACGTTCAGCCTGTCCCGATCTACGCAGCCCTCTCCCTCCCTCAAGGGAGCCGGGGCTCCACCTGCCCCTAAGACCCGTGCACCCCAAGGCCCCTGGGTCCCAGACGTACCAGTTCTCAGGGAAGCCGTGCAGAAACAGCATGAGGGGTCCGTTGCCTCGTCCAGCTGAGACATAGTGCAGACGCAGGCCCGAGCTCTAGGGGGAGGGCACGGCCTGAAGCCTGGGGAAGCCTCCCTCCCAAGGCTTGAACAGCCTCGACGCCACGCAACCCTGAAGCCCGGATGGCGCCCCCGTGCTCTCACCTCGAGGTTCAGGAAGCCGTGCTCGCCCAGCGAGGGGTCGCTCAGGCAGGCGGGGGGCGCGCTTCGGCGGCGTCCGCAGCAGCCGCGCCGGGGCCGGCACAGCACGTGCGTGAGCGCGATGCAGCCGTAGACCGCCGCGGCCACCAGCGCCGCCGAGAACACGAGGCTCCACATGAAGGCGCGCAGCAGCTTCAGTGACAGGCGCGATGGCGCCAGCAGCGCGGTCACCACCAGCTCGGGCATGTCGCCGCGCTCCGGGACCACAGCTTTGCTGCTGGCCGGGGACACCTGCAGCAGCGGCGAGGCGGTGTCAGGGCTCAGGAGCCCATCGCCTTTGGCCTGACGCCCCTCCGTCCCGTCGGGGCTTGTGGGACGCGATGAGAGAAAAGACCGGCAGCTCAGGAGAGCACGACTCACCTGAGTGCCAGGTAAACACCTGGGCGCGACAGGGGCGGGAAACAAGGCTAGGGTGCGAGAGCTGGAGAGGGAGGGGTTGGAAAGGGGGGAAAGAAATGAGCGCGGCCTAGATGGGCTTGGGCGGTGCTTAGGATTTGGGCGGGGCCCAGCGGGACTCCGCAGTAGGTGGGTGAGGGTCTAAAGAAGGCAATTCCGGGCCCGGCGCGTGGGCTCACGCCTGTGATTCCGATACTGTGGGAGGCCGAGGCGGGCGGATCACCTGAGGTCAGGAGTTTGAGACCAGCCTGGCCAAGATGGTGAAACCCCGTTTCTACTAAAAATACAAAAATTAGCCGGGTGTGGTGGCAGGCTCCTGTAATCCCAGCTACTTGGGAGGCTGAGGCAGGAGAATAGCTTGAATCTGGGAGGTAGAGGTTGCAGTAGCTGAGATCGCGCCATTGCACCCCAGCCTGGGCAACAAGAGCGAAACTCCGTCTCAAAAAAAAAAAAAAAAGGCAATTCCGAGTCCAGACAAACCTTGGGGAGGGGTCCTGTGTCAAGTGGGCGGCACCTGGAGTGAGGGACGGGCATATGCAGAGCAGGTGTGGCCTACAAGCCAGAAAAGAGGGAAGAGTTGAAGTGGTAGGCGTGGCTTACGCGGGTAGGCGGGGAGAGGGTGGAGCCTAGAGGAAGTGAGGCCTAACATTGGGCGGAGAAGGCGGGAGCCTGGGCCAATGAGCTGAGGGTCGGCCTGGAGGCCTATGAGGCCGAGAGCAGGGTGGGAACCTAATATGGCGGGTCGGGCGGGCCCGGAAGCGGAAGAAGAGGGACAGGCAATGCCAGGTCTAGGACTAGAAGGGAGGCGCGGGCGGTGTTAGCAGACCGAGGAGGCTTCGGGAGGCCCGGGCGCTACCCGCCAGGTGCTCCCTACCCCTTGGTCTGGCTCCAAAGACCTAGAAGCACTGACTTTACCCAGCTCTGGTTCCAACGGCGGGTCCGCGGCCTCGGCCCAGCGCCGTCCTCCTGTTGGCCCAACAGACCAGCCGGCCCACCCCTGTACGTCTGTGATTGGACGGCGGCGGCCACTGATGTCCAAGCGACAGGTCCTGGCCCGGGAGCCAATCGACAGGTGTTGAGGCCCAGGCTGCTAGAGCGGGCAGAGGAGGCGGAGATACCCTGTTTCCTAGAGGGCCTGCCTGGTTTCCCCAGGAGGACCCGGCCTATTGAGTGACTAGGGTTCTAGCCGAAAGAGGAAGAGGGACAGGGCCGGGTGTGATGGGGCCTAGAGTCACAGAGCCCTGCGGCCCTGCTGTCCCTGCAAGAAGCCAGCTTCTTCCTCCTATTTTGCAACCTTCTCCCGGTATCCTTGAACATTTTAGGGACACCCATCACTTACCCTGTATAGCAACCCTATTAAATGTAAGTAGTAGTATCACATCACTGTAATACAGAACATGAACCTGAATTTCGAGGATGAAGTCATTTGCCTGAAACCATACATCTTGTTAAACAGCCATCCACAAAGACTAGGGAAAAAGGCAGCTATCTGTGGCTACACCTCCCCTTCTTCCTGGAAGCAGCCGTTGGAACATTTTTAGCTTTTTCTTTTTTCAGATGGGAATCTCAATCATAGCTCACTGCAGCCTCGAACTCCTAGGCTCAAACCTATATTTGGGACTACAGGTCTGTGCCGCCACACTGCTAATTTTTCAGAAACGTTTAATAGAGACGATCTGCTATGTTGTCTAGGCTGTTCTCAAACTCCTGGCCTCAAACAATCCTCCAGCCTCGGCCTTCCAAAGTGTGATTACAAGTGTGAGCCACCATGCCTGGCCTCTGTTTCTTGACTTAACCAATTTGTGACATTGGCCACAGACTTGGTCACGTCACTACCCCAGCATGAGACATGCTTTTTCTCTATTAGCTTCCTTTAAAAAACTCCACCTCTTACTTTTTGTCCATATACCTTTGTGCTGTCAAAGCTGCTCAACATTTTACTGTCCTGGGATCATAATTAAGTCCATGAAGTTGCTACTTAAAGGTGAATAGTGGATTATGTTCTGCCTCAGTAAACAATGCATCTCAGAGCTGAGTAGACGTCTGTGATTACGTTGCCCATAAGTGTACAAAGTTTTGTTTTCCCTTGACTACTTAACCACTACCTTTCTTTTGTTGTGATTAGCCTGTATCATAGCTTTGGTTTTTCTTTTATTTTTTGAGATGGGAGTCTCCACCATGTTGCGCAAGCTGGAGTGCAGTGGTGCGATCTCGACTCACTCAACCTCTGCCTCCAAGGTTCAAGTTATTCTCCTGCCTCAGCTTCCGGAGTAGCTAGGACTACAGGTATGCACCACCACAGCTGGCTGATTTTTTTGTATTTTTTAGTAGAGATGGGGTTTCACCATGTTGGCCAGGCTAGTCTCTAAGGGATACTCCAGCAATCCACCCACCTTGGCCTCCCAAAGTGCTGGGATTACAGGTGTTAGTCACCACACCTGGCAGCTTTTTTTTTTTTTTTGACAGTCTCACTCTGTCACCAGGTGCCAGGCTGGAGTGCAGTGGCACAAGCTTGGCTCACTGCAACCTCTGCCTCCCAGGTTCAAGCAATGCTCCTGCCTCAGCCTCCCAAGTACCTGGGACTACAGGCACACACCACCATGCTCAGCTAAATTTTTTTTTTAAGTAGAGATGGGGTTTCACCATGTTGGCCAGGATGGTCTTGATCTCTTGACCTCGTGATCCACCCGCCTTTGCCTCCCAAAGTGCTGGGATTATAGGCATGAGCCACCACACCTGGCCAGCTTTTGTTTATTTTACACCTTCCATTAAGTCAATTATGATAATTTGATGTTCCCAGGATCTCTCCTGACTCCACTAATCTGGCCGCATGACTGGTGGGCACCTGAGGACCCTCCCTTCTTCCTCTGCTACACATCACTGACTGACCCACACCCTCACCTCCCCACTCCTCCCATGTCTACCCTCAAACAAAAAGACGGCAGCCATCACAGATGAGTAACTTTATATTCAGTACAAATGTTTATTTTTGCAATGAGAACTGCACAAAAAAAAAGAACCTTTCGTATATATAAGTGAAAAGTCTGAATTCCCTTCTACAAATGTCTAAAGTGTTTAATACAAGTCTCAGATTCACTGACATAATTATTGGCCAAGCGATCCGTGCATACAGTACAGTAGGGGCTTGTACACACCTCTTACTCTGGTATAGGACTAAAAGTTCCTAGTACTGTGGGAAGGATTGGGAAATGGCTGGAGAAACTAAATAGATCCCAGTTCTAATTACAACCCAGTTAGAGAGACACCCATCAGGGAGGTGTGGAGAAGGCCATGACAGAGTTAAATCTTCAGCAGGAAGGTGTAGCCAAAACTATCACTGGGAAAGTGTCTGAACAAAACCAGGAACAAAAATAAGGGGATGGGATGAGATGGAAAAAACCTCGAAGAACCTAAATACGTCACACTTGAAGTGGCACAGAGGTCTTTGAGGAAGTGCCTGGGTGGGCAGGGACGTTAAGGAAGGGAGGTGGGCGCTCTGGCTGGATGCCTAAATAATACCCTCAAAGGGAGGTTTGGCAGATCCAAAGACAAAAAAGGACCTTTCAGGTCGAAAAGTGGGGATGTAGGTTAATAAACAGTGCTAGAAATGTTTCAGTTTGTCTCTGCATACATATACATTATATACTTTTATCTTACATCTTAGGGGCTCTTGTTGGGCATCACCCGTGCCTCGTGGCTGGGGCATGTGGGCCTAGGTGGGCACACAGGGAGGGCAGCTACCTGTGGGCTTTCTTGGGCAGGAATATGTGTGCATGTGTGTGTATGTGCATGGCAGGGTGAGGATTCTAATGGTCCGGGGGGGGGAATGTAGATTTCTCTAGAATATCTGATTAACCCTGAGCTTAAATGAAAGGAGTTAGGTAGAGGCAGGCAAGGTGGAAGAAGTTGCCCAAGTCCTTTGGTGAGTGGGGGATGGGATGAAGGAGAGTGCAGGGGAAGAATACTGTCTGGAGTTTGGCCAGGGTTCTGCTGGAGCATGCCCTCCATCTTGGCCAGGGTCCACAAGGATGAGTACCTGGCTCGGGTCACAGCTTCGGCTTGAAGTGGCTGCTATGAGCCTGCGTGGCTCCTGTCCAGGGCAGGCAGGGATAGGCCACAGGAGAGGGGCTAATTCCTGGTGATAGTTCTTGTACAGAGGTGGTCCGGGGTCCAGGGGGGGCCCCTGGGCCTAGCCTAGGCAACAACTGGTTCACAAAGAAATGTCAGGGAGACGCCAGCATTAAAAAAGAGAGATGTGTTTATTCCATGATCAGTACAGACCAAATGCATATTCACCGTATGAAAGTCAAACCAGTCAGTGACTCCAGAGTTTGGCCAACACTGAGGCACCAGTGTCGTGGTGTAGAGTGGGTTCTCATGGCACACGTAACCTCACCAAGGGCTCCAATTATTTAAAAAAAAAAAAAGCATGGGCAGGAGCGAGTGGCCGCTAGTCAGGGCTGGGCACCAGGTGAGGGAATCTTTGCCTCAGTCTGTGGCGCCCCTGGGGCCTGGTGCCCACCTTGTCCCTTGGCCCTTCCTTTATCAGTTTAAAAAACAAAACAAAACGAAACAAAACAAAAACCTCAAAACAGATCTGACATTAAAAAAAAAGCCAACAAATGAGGGGTGAGGTGGGAGGAGGGGAAGGAAAATAAATTGCAGCTTTCTGGTTTTATAATTAAAAATAGACGAAGTTTGAAACCGAGTAAAATATAGGCAGGATTTTTTTGTGTTTTGTCTTTTTTGTGGATTTTTTTGAGCTTTTTTTCTTTTTTACACCAGTTTGGTGGAGTCACGAACAAACTTCAAAGATATGCCAACTATGTTCACTATACAGTACAGCCACGGTCACACACTACCCACAGCGCGGTGGCAGCCGCCGCTCAATGAGGAGACGATCACACCATTTCAGAGATAAGCAGTGCCATGTGTCTGGAGAAGAGATAATTAAAAATAAAATAGAATTCAACAAAAAATATATATAGGAAAAAAACAAACAAACAAAACAAAACAAAACCAGAAACACAGGTGGGAAGGAACTGACTTTGGTTGGTGGCCTCACTCTCCGGGCGAGGCCTGCCCACATGGGACAGCCGCCTCGCTCCGGATGCCATGGACACACACACCTCCACGGCACTATTCCCTTTTGCACAAGCAAACACTTACAGAGAGCGGCTCTCGATTAAAGGCTTGTGGGGGAGGGTCGGGGGGGTCTGTTCAAGGCAAAGTCAGTGCCAGCGAAGGGGTGGGCTGGCCTCACCCACCTCCAGCCCACTCGGGCCTGCCCTGGCCTCCTGGGAGCGGGCGGCGATGGCTGGGGTGTGGGGAAGGACTCCTGGCGGGCAGGACGTCACGAATGTCAGGTTCTTGGGGACAGAAAACCAGTCACGGTGGCGACAGCAACGATGTCCTGTGTATACTGTGTAGACATCTGGCGGAGAGAAGGGCCTCTGCCCCGCATGTGGGGATGCAGGGCTTGGGTCCAGCCGGCACTTGCTCGTAACGAGGCGTGCGCTGAGCGGACGTCCTGTGCGGAGTGGGTGGCAGGACGTCTGTCCGGCTGTCCGTAAGGCAGACAGGCTCTGCGATCCTCAGCTGCCCGTCAGGCCAGCCCCGGGCATAGCATGCAGGAGGGCCAGGCCCGGAGATGTCCCCTGGCCACTGCTCCTACCTCCACCGCCACCCCTAACACTATGGAAAGTCAACGTTTTGCCAGAAAATCAAAGTCAGAAGCCACCTAGGTGCGCTCAGAAAAGATTTTCTTCAAATATTGACAATAGATCACTCTGGAAATTCATGTCAATGGTAGCTGCCATCTGGAGGAGAAAGGAAGGAGTCAGGAGGATAACCTAGCCACTCCGAAGTTCCAAGCCCTCCCCAGGGCTGAACCCTCACAGCACCACCCCGATATAGCACTCAGGCCCCTAACACCTAAGCCCAGAGGACTGCATGCCGACCTGCAGGGCCTGGGCTTCCCCACTACCCTCCCTGTCAGGGCTCTAGTCCCCACTTCCCAGCTTCCCCAGGGGCTAACCCTTACACAGGGGTCCCCACCGGACCCCCAGACTCACGGCTTCCCGGCGTCTTCGCTCCTGCTCCCGCTTCCGAGCCAACTCCCTCTGCTGGTCCAGCATGGACTGGGGCTGGGAGCTCTGGGCCTGTGGGGTGGCAGCGGCAGCCACTGCAGCTACTTGTTGTTGCTGCTGCTGCTGCTGCTGCTCCTGGCGTTGCTGCTGTTGCTGCTGCTGCTCCTGTCGCCGGCGTGCCTCCTCATGGGCCCGCCGGGCCTGCTCCAGCGCATCCTCGTCCTCTCGGCTCCTGGGCAAAGGGTCCTGGTCAGCCTGGGGACCTGTGTGGCCCCAGGAGTCCCCACACCCTGCCCAGAGCCTTCGCCCACCTCATGCGCTCCTGCCGCAGCCGCTCCTTTTCCTTCTCAGCGTGCTCAGCCTGAGCCTTCAGGGCCTTCTCACGTTCCTCCTTCTCCCGAGCAGCGCGGCGGAACTGCTCGAAGCTGTCGCTGGATGACTTGGCGGTAGAGGAGGGGGTGGTCGGATGCTTCTGCACTAGGCTGGCCCAGGAACCCATGTTCTTGATTTTTAGGTCCTGCAGAACCGAGAGATTGGGGTGGGTGAGGGGCCTGCTGTGTCCAAAGGGCATGGCAAGGGGCATGGCAGGGGACATGCCCAGCATAGCACCCTCCAGGGTCAAGGGGCAAATGGCACCCATGGGCCTCCTTTCCCGACCTTTTTGGGGGCAACTGGAGTCTTTGGCTCCTGTTTCTGTTTGTCCTTGTCAGGGGCCCCCGGTGGTGGTGCGTTCTGCTCAGGGGGCCGGATCACAGGTCGTCCGACATCCACAGGCTTCATCTCTGGCCCTGGAACATAAACACAGCCGGTAGGCCCAGGCCCACCTCACCCCGGCGGGGCACGGTCCACCAGCCCCACAGCGAGGTCACGTCCAACATGGGCCTGGGGACCTGAGCCCTGGCTGTGGGCGGAGAGGGCAGCACTCACGCTGTGGCAGGTGGACCGGGGCCTTGATGCTCTCCGAATGCTTGGGGGGCTCCGGCCGCAGCGAGGGGCTGAAGGGCTCGCTGCGGATGATGGGTGAGTGGATCTTCTCCTCCTTCACCACCACCAGGGGCTGGGGCTGGACCACGGAGGCCGCACGCAGCTCCTGGGATGGCACAGGCACAGCAGCTGGTGAGGTGGGCAGGCGTCCCTGGCCCCGGCCCACGCCTGGCTCTGGGGGCTGTGGTCCAGCCCTGCCCGTTACCTGCTTCTTAGGCTGGACATTTTGCTGGGGTGGAGACTGATGGGTCAGGCTCTGGAACTGTGACATCTGGGGGGAATGTATCATAAGCGGGGAGGGGGCTTCGCGGAGATGACCTAGGAGAGGGAACAAGGAATGTGTTACGGGGCTGGCTTAGAGCTGCCGCCCCTGGGCCACTTGGGCCTTGAGAGAATTGTCGGGAAGGAAAAGATGGGCTGGATGAAGAACCTGCATGTGGCTGCTCAGGGCCAGGGGCAAGGGTCCATCAGCCCAGCTCAAAAAGAGTGAAGACCCATGCAAGTGACTGGGACTGGTGAGGACATGACCCCTCCCCCAAAAAGCTGAGTGCCCCGTGTCCCCCTGCACATGGGACCTAAGTCATATCCTCAAACTCAGTGTGCAGCAGGGCTTTCTGTAGCCCTATGGCACCAGGCCTGGTGTTTAAACCTCCTGTGTGTATCAGAACCACCCGGGACACTGTAGAACACTCAGATCCTGACACATGTGGGCTTAGCAGGGCCTAGGCCCTAATACTTTTTAACCCCACAGAGTTCAGCCTGGGTTCCCGCCAACTAGCCTGGCCCACCTGGATGATTACAGGGGATGAAGAACCCAGTCTTGGGGGTGGGGAACCTCAGGACCCTCCCCATGGTCCTATTCCCCACTCAGCCTGCATGCCCCACGGAAGGGGGAAACCTGGAACTGGCCTCTAACTAGGCCAAGTGGGGAGCAGGCAAAACAGGGCTTGGAGCTGTCTCTTTTAGGAAATGGGCCAGCTTGCCACCTGCATCCAAACCAAGGCTGGGAGGGATCCAGCAGACATAGGGACTACTGGGCCCTGAATCACAGTGAGCCAGCACCTCAGGACTGTGAGCTGGAGGAGCCGAGTCCTGACCATCCAACAAATGGCCTCCGTCTGCTGGAATCCCTGCAGGCAAGGGGCCACCCCTTGACTAGCTCTAGCTTAGGATAAGCCACACTGTCCACAAGAAGGTTGCCTCTCTGCAAAGCTGCTCCCAGCCTGGCCTCACACCTATTTCCTTCCATTGTCTGCCAGCACAGATACCCTTGGGATTTCCATGAGCCCTGCTGGCTGGAAGCACCTATTTTCATAGGCCTGGAGCAGACCATAATGCCCCAGGTGTGGTGGACCCTCCACAGCCTCTCTAGAGGCTGGACCCACTTCTAATGCCAGAAGACATCTTGGAGCCTGCTGGAGCCCATATGGTGTCCAGGCCCACCCTGTCCTTGTGGTCCCCTGCTCTGTGTGGCTGGTTTTCCTGGTGTTGATGTCTCCTCCAATTCTAGCACAACAGAACCACTCTGGGCACTGCCATCCCCATGTACTGCTGGAGGGCCCCAGGCCCAGCCTGCCAGGGATCCACAGACATTCAACTGCAGCAGCTTCCCACCCATCTAGCAAAGTGCCTTCAGTAGCACCTGTTGAGGCTGATCTGGGCAACAGTAGGCTCTGGAGGCTGTGGTTTATAAAAACCACCTGCCTGCTGGTGGGTTCAGAGGGTGGCTCAGGGATGGCTCCTGAAAGCTAGGTGTGGGCCGAGGGATGCCTGTTAAGTCTCTTTGGGAGTCTAACAACTTGCCTTTTGGCCCAAAGGTCCCGGCAGGATCCCAACCCACATTGGTCCTGATGCTCCATTCTAGCCTGCTGGGGCTTGTGTCGGGGCTGGGGCCTAAAGCAGAGCTGGATGGAGGAGACCTGCCTCAGTCCCTGTAGGCGCACGGTGCACCCTAAGCCTGGCTCTTCAAAATGCCTTGCATCTCCTGTTCATCACCCCCAACAGGAGATTAACCCTGCTTTGTGTGAGAACAGGCACAGCCAGCAGGCCCAACACCAGTATTTCCCAGGGAGGACAGACAGCTGTTCTTGGCTCAGGGCATGCAGCAATCCACTTGGCACCTGGCAGCATTTTTTTTTTTTTGAGATGGAGTCTCATTCTGTCACCCAGGCTGGAGTGCAGTGGCACGATCTCGGCTCACTGCAACCTCTGATGCCCAGGTTCAAGCGATGCTCCTACCTCAGCCTCCCAAGTAGCGGGAACTACAGGTGCCTGCCACTGTGCCCGGCTAATGTTTGTATTTTTAGCAGAGACAGGGTTCCACCATCTTGGTCAGTCTGGTCATGAACTCCTGACCTCGTCATCCACCCACCTTGGCCTCCCAAAGTACTGGGATTCTGGGCATGAGCCACCATGCCCAGCCTGCACCCATCACACCTGGTACTCCCAAGACAGATGGCACATCTATATTGCTGAGGCCAGGACCCTCCACCCTGACCCTGCAGCACCACATCAGGAGGCACTGACCGGAATGTTCCCCTGCCAGAGTCAGCCAGAACATTTTGGTTACTGACATTTAAACAAGTGCCCAGGAAAGACGAGAGGGCATGGCTTGACCAATGCTGTTGATGAGAAAAGGGTGGCCTGGACTGGGCTGGAGGCTGGGAGCAGGGGATGAGCCTCCCAGGCAGGCTCTGAGCTCCCCATCATGGTTCTGGCTCCCCCTGAACCTTATTCCTCACCTTGCTTTCTACATTGGCTGCTGCCTATCTGTAATCATCACCTCCTGGAAGCATACCATGACCCCCAGAAGTGGATCAGGTGCCTTGCCTGGGCTCCTAGCTTCCCCACCTAGTGAGGAGTCACCTAGCACTGTCATGCTCCTGACTGTGGGAGAGGGGCAAGAGGGGCCTGCTTCTGGGTCATCTTGGCTCACAAGCAAGACAGA